TAGCCTCTCTAGAGCCTGTTTATAGCGTATATAACCTGCATATAGCCTCTGGATATATATACAGCCTCTGGATATATAGCCTGGTTATAGCCTGTTTTTAGCCTGGATCTAGCCTTGTTATAGCCTCTGAATGTAGCCTGGATTTTGGGGGTTAGCGCTGACATTTTTTTCTCTCTCTCTCTCTCTCTCTCTCTCTCTCTCTCTCTCTCTCTCTCTCTCTCTCTCTCTCTCTCTCTCTCTTTCTTCGGATGTGGTGTTTGAGATTCAATCTTTGCGAAGCCGACTGTGAACTCATGACATGACGATATTTCTTTTGATGGCTTCTTGTTTCTGAATGTGCCTCTCCCACTTCCAACTTCCAACTCCCAAACTGCAGTTGAGCTGTTTGGATTCCTCGTTGGCGATCAAACCGGTGTTTGAGCGGTTCCAGTCCGTCGTGATCACGTCGGGTACGCTGAGCCCAATCAACGAGTACATGCGGTTGCTGAACTTCCACCCGGTCGTCATTCAGAGCTTTCCCATGTCACTCACACGGGAGTGCCTGTGCCCTATGGTACTGACACGTGGAAGGTGAGAGAGTTGAATCTTTTTTTTTTTTTTTTTCCCTTTCTTCTTTTTCTTTTTTGAAGAATCATCATTTATGATTTATGCTTATATATATCGTCAAATAGAACTGCCCGGTAAACCGTAGGCAGAGAGGGAGAAGAGGACAACAAACGAGCAAACTGTTTCGTCGGAGTTTCACCGACTCATCAGGAGGCTGAACCCTCAACAGTCTGTAGAATCCCCTCACTGATTATATTATATTGTCAATCTGCAAAAAGGAGGCCGGGGAAAAAATAAACTTTTTTCAAAAGTACTTAAAAAAAAAAAAGGGGCGACGGCCTTGAGATACGAGCATATTGAACTGACCAGCTCCAGGCAATTCAGAACTTATTTAGTCTGTTCATGTGGGCTGCATCTGGATTCGAACTTGGGTCTGATTCATCTTTCAACAGATCGTGGGTGTACCGACTGAGATCTAGGCCCGTTGGTACAGAGTTGCAATCCCTTCCATTTCCTGGCCTTCAGAATTTTGTTCCTCTGTTTATTATTATTATTTCAAATATTATTATTATTATTATTATTTATATTTAATTATTTGTTCAAAAGAACCAAAACGTCGAACTCTTCAAACTTCAAATATTTCTCATCCATTATGTTTCAAGGTGGATGGTATGACAACAGATCATGTGTGCTTGCCTCCTCTGGAGCTGTGGAAATAACCCGATACGCAAGTGCTTTTTTTTTTTTTTTTTTAATAATGCAAATGGAGATGTGAATGTAATGACGCTAATGAGGTTAAATGAGCCCATTTTTACAAATCAAAACGCCATTGCAAAATGACACCAAGTTGCGGTTGTCCACGCACTCTCACAAACACGAACACAAGGAGAAGATGAGAACAGCAAGCACAAGGAGAAGATGAGAACAACCAAAGCCATGAGATGAGATATCGGTTAAGTTATCTTCAAGTTTTAACCTCCCCGTGCCCCACTTCTCCTACAGCCGACTGCTGGCTCCTGTCTTCCTCAAGTGCGAAGAGGTCTGTGTACAGCTGGTTGGGCGGCTATGGCCGCCAGGACAACAAACAGGAAGATAAACTATGTGTCAGGTTTCGGCCCTCGGGCCTCTCTCATCTCTCTCTGTGAATGCCCTCCCTCTTCTGCCTAAAGTAAAAGATATAGCCATGGCTCCCAGTGGCTTCTGACTACTAGCTCTCTCTCTCTCTCTCTCTCTCTCTCTCTCTCTCTCTCTCTCTCTCTCTCTCTCTCTCTCTCCCTCCCTGTGCACCACTCAACCCTCCACCCTCTTGATAGCCGCTCAGAATCAAGTATTGCGCAACACTTGATTCTTGTGAATGTTTTATTTATTTTATTGCTTTGATGTTTTACAGTTCTTAATACTTTTAATTACCGTCTGCCTTTCTGTCTGTTTGTTGCGTGACTGCGTGCTCAGTGACCAGCTTCCTGTTAGCACAAAGTTTGACATGCGCAGCGATCCTGGAGTCGTGCGCAATTATGGGCGCCTCCTAGTAGAGATGGTCTCCGTCGTGCCAGATGGCGTCGTCTGCTTCTTCGTCAGTTACTCCTACATGGATGGAATTGTTAATACGTGGAATGAAATGGGGATCTTAAAGGTGAGTGAGTGAGTGAGTGAGTGAGTGAGTGAGTGAGTGAGTGAGTGAGTGAGTGGGTGGGTGGGTGGGTGGGAAGGTGGGTGAGTATGTGAGTGAGTGAGTGAGGGAGGGAGCGAGCAAGCGAGCGAGCACTGCAAGTACAGAAACATCATCAGCTGGCATCTGTCCAATGACTAGCGTTGATTGGATGTGTAATCATTGTGTGTGTTTTCTGCGTTGATAATACATTTGATATCCCCAAAGCTCATGTGTTTCCTTCGTCTTCATCCATGTCATTTTTTTTTCTTTCGTCATGAATCTGAACTCGTCGGATTGCATCAGGAGGTTCGAAGTTTGAACCCGTGATCTATATTTATTAACCCTCAAGGGCCTCGACCCCCAATCAAATGTGGGAAATTATACTCGCAATGTTAACCCGCAATGTTTCTGACCAAAACATTGTCCTAGAAGGCCAACAGCTCCTCTCTGTACGACAAGATGAATGTGTCCACCCGATCACACAACATATGCCATGTCATCCAGTGTCCATGCATCAACCTCATCAATTGCACCATTGGACTGCAGTCATCTAATCTTATTCTCTCTCTCTCTCTCTCTCTCTCTCTCTCTCTCTCTCTCTCTCTCTCTCTCTCTCTCTCTCTCTCTCTCTCTCTCTCNTCTCTCTCTCTCTCTCTCTCTCTCTCTCTCTCTCTCTCTCACACACACACACACACACACACACACACACACACACACACACACACACACACAATACAAACGCACAGGCATGTCATCTTCATCTGTCATTAGCAGCGCACTGTTTTGGTGTAACTAAGGACGACGCGCATGCAGATGAACACATGCCTGAGAGGATGGCAGGTGTTCCAACAACAGGCGCTGGGGCATGCCGAAGGAACTGCTGCTTGAATGGCAGAAGTCCATTTGTGTGTTTAAGTCCAGGTTGTTGGAGAGGGTGGATACAAACTGGCATATGACAGTCCCTTTAGCAGTTGGCCATTTGATTATGCCAAATGATCTATGCAGCCCCCCCCCCGCTATGAGACTTCCTCCCACCCTGAGTCTCATTATTATTCCCGGCGTTGTTATTGTCGTTTGTAATGATGGACTGATTGAATGATATTATTGTTTTTGGTAGTCATCGATTGCTTTTCGCACCGGGCTCTCTTTCAGTTCGGCAAGTGCCAAGATGTGTTCTCTCTCTCTCTCTCTCTCTCTCTCTCTCTCTTTTTTTTTTCTTTTTTTTTTTAAAGCAAGCATGATGGTGATGATCATCAATTGTTGTCATGTTGCATGTGTGTTGTAAATATGTGAAAATTTTATTTTGTGGTGGTCCTCCAGGAAGTAATGCAGCACAAACTGGTATTTATAGAGACCCAGGATGTGGTTGAGACAACGCTAGCTCTCGATAACTTCAGGAAAGCTTGCGATTGCGGACGAGGTGCGGTATTCTTCAGTATTGCTAGGTGGGGCAGTGTGTGGCACTTCCCACACCATACCTCTGTCTGTGTATCTTTTTTCTTTTTCTCTCTTTTCATCATGTCCCGACTTTACTTTCCTTTTATGTTTGACATGTCCACATAATGAATGATCAGAGAGATGCTGACACTGATGCTGATGCTGATGCCAATACTCTTGCTGCTGCTGCTGCTGCTGCTGATGATGATGATGATGGTGTTGTCAGATGGATGGATGGATGGATGGATGGATGGATGAGATGGATGGATGGATGGATGGATGACAACTGGCACTACCTGCCTGTGGATGCAGGTGTGTGTTGTTGGAGACTGCACTGTTAGAAAACCGAAAAGGGAAACAAAATCCGGAAAGTCGGGAAGCCGGAAAGGGGGAAAGAAAGAGGGTCAATGCTGGGGTGTGAAGGGGGGGCACCTAGTGTTCCCTCTGTTTTTCAGGGGGTGTAGGGGCGCAGTCTTGCGGTCGTAATTGAGAGGGGCCATTTTGCCTGTTTATCGAACCCCGACCACTCATGCTCGAGCGAATAAACCAACCCCTCTCCTGACCAGCCTGCATTCGGCGACAACAAAATTAGCAGAAACGATGAAGCAACAACAGGACCACCAAAGAAAAGGGCAACCATCCAAAGCTGTCGCCACAGCCTGCAAAACCGCCCTGCCTCCTGTGCAGCAGGGGTCTGCTGCATCCACAGGCCCCCAACTGCAGACATAGGGGGTTGGATGTGTTTTTCTTTTCTTTTTGTGTAATAAACGTTGGAGGTGATTGTGTTATGACCCGGACCAATTGCGAAGTACAAATTCACCAATAAAGCACAATGCTGCCCAATTGCAAAAGAAATGAATGAACTTGAGAGGATTGAGAGGATAAGAAGAAGAAGAAGTAGTAGTAAGAAGGAAGAAGATGAAGTACACCAGCAAAGAACCAATGTCAAAGCACTTCTCCTTCGCTCAACTTCTCAACTCCATATGTACCCCTCTCTTATATTCAAACAAGAATTATTGCAACAATGCTGACCAGCTGATCCAGAATCAAAGTCCAAGGTCCTCTTCTACAGCTGACTACTATTGAGGTCCTCCATAGCCATGGCCGCCTCTCCCTTCTTCTTCCTTGGAGGCCGAGGCTATGGCGGACTACTGCAGGCCACCGTGATGTCCAGAGGACAACACAGAACAGCTATGGCTGTCCCGCACACACCACCATGCTCCGAACCAC